AAGGTTGTTGAATTAAATTGCTCCATCTTATTTTTAATTTAACTCTTTTTGAATAAATAGTAACAACTTTTTAATTAAATTTTAATAATATTTTTATAACTGTCAAACAGAATTAATAAAAATTTGAAGTTAAATAATTGGATAGATACCTAAATGCCATTTGGAAGGAGGAAAATCCAAGTATATCTAAAATATGTTGAAACGGATAATTTTTGACAAATGACTACTTTAATTAATTTTTTATTTTTTAATAAGCACAACTGTTAAAATTTATTGTGGACCAATATGGATAGGATATTTTGAGCTATTTATCTCATTTTCGGAGAAAGGAATAATAACTAAATAAATAATTTTATTCCGTGAAATTATATTATTAAACAAAGAAAAATGAAGTATTTGCAACAATAGGAGGCATTTTTGGCAATTATTGGAAAACAATTGGAAATTTTAACCACCATTGGTATAAAGATATGACTTGACTATGCCAATATGGAGTCTTTAAGTAAATTGAACTTTTGATTAGCAAATTCATTCATGGTTAAATTTGGAGACCTCTTTGTCAGATTCCTTTTTATTTAAGACCTGCACCAAAGTCTAAATAATTAAATTTTTAAATTATATTAAAAAAATACTGTCGCAGAAAATGAGAATCATTTCAATTTAAGAAGATTTAAACTTGAAAAACACTCTTTCCAAAAATTTATTCTTTTAGTGCGAATTTGAAAAATATTTTCAATTTCCAAAAATATGAATGCATTCCTCGGCATATGTTTCTATATGGCAACAGCTGTTGGCCCCGTGCTAAAAATATCTCAGCGTCGCATACCACTAACAAAAACATTCCACCCTCAGCCGAAACTATTTAAAGAGGTGCATCTCAAATTTTAACACATCCTGCAGCTAAAATTAGAGGAAAAAAAATCGCTCCCTCTTCCTATCAACATCTGGCTGCAGATGAGGCGTTGGTTCTCGTTAATAGGCTTGTTAACAGTGATTAAACATTTTGGGCAGCCGCGTATAAAATCGCGTTTAATTAGCATGTTAGTGAGTAGCAGTAAATTTTCAAATGAGATGAGCAGAAAAAAGTGCAAACGGGCGGTGGCGGATGTGTGCAATGAGCAGTCGACGATTTATCTGATTTCGGACGGAGGAAACCGTTAGGCCGTGTCCGTTTGATTTTGATCGAGCATGAGAATGGCGTGTCAATTAAAGTGACAAAGCTGATCTCTCGTCGCCAATTGTCGGAGTAAAATTAAATTGAGCGACGACGTTTGTCCATTAAAAAGAAAAGCAAAGACATTCATTTGTTGCTACAATGGCTTGTTAAGTTGTAATGGAAAGAACATAACCTTAATTAGAAATTATCTAAAATAACAGTAAGAAGTGATAGTTCATGTAATTTGTAATTGTCAAGAAGATGTTCTTGGAAAAACAATTTGATTGCATTAATGTAGCACACCATTTATTTCAATACTAGTAAAAGATATTAAAAGGAACATAAATTCCAGTAGAATTCAGTTAATAATTAATTTAAACAAACTCGATTTATGGACTTAAACTCTTAAAGTTATCAGTAATAAATATTCTATCTTATAAATTTAAATTGAATTTCTTGCAGTCACTGCATTAAACTTCATCTTGAAATATAAAATAATTCAAAGTTGTTAAAATTGCAATTTTTTGATCAATATTGCTATAAAATTTAATTAATTAAGAGTTAATTAAAACGACTAATAAATAAATTTAACAAACTTTATTAAAAGTTCTACAAATTTAGTGTTAGAAGATTTTCAAAAGTCTCACAATCGGGGCAGTAGTAATTATTATAGAAGTAAAAACTTGAAGAATCTAAATTAAGTGTCCGTATCTCGTCACAATTCTCGTCCACTAGGCGGAAGTCTCAGGACGAAATTAATCTTTTTCAGGGACGTGTTCCACTTGCCACTGCGAGCAATTTAATTTTTTTTCCAGCATAATGGAGTTTGTTGCGTCGGCTGGACAAAGAAAAGCAATTCATTGTTGTGCGTGGGGGGACACGCTTGTTTCGCGGCGCAGGAAGTTCAAAGCAATTATAATCACACACGCCGCCCCATTATCGTCCCTTATGTTTGAGCGGCGCACTTCCGCCAAACACACACCGGTGCAGCTTTTGATTTGAAAAGAAGAAAATCACCATGTGAATTTAAAACCAAACAATAATATAGACTATAGAAACTGGTTTTTTGTAGAGAACAATTTGATCAAATTTTCTATTTAATTTTGCGCTTTTTATTTAATTTCTTCTTTATTTTTTGAAATTATCAAAATTTTGTACAATAATAAAATTTGATTAATTTTAATATAGACTGACAATTATTATTCTATTCCCTCTATTCTCTCAAATTTCTCTAAGGCCAATAATTTCTCCTTCTTGTTTATTTTTTTCCTCTTTTAGTCGTGACATTGTTATTATTTTCACCTTTCACGCCGACGTACGCACAAGAAAAATAAGTCACGCGTTTGGTTTTTGAGGCATAAAAAAGAAAAACAATGAGAAATCAAGACGTTGTTTGGATTGGAACGACATAAGAAGAAGTGATTCTCTCCGGTTTGGCGCATCAATGGTTAGATTATTCGGCTGTTTTCTCTCAAAATTCTTGTGACCTGGCGACCTGATTGATAAAAAGTAAAAGGGGAGCTGCACGCCGACGCCTTATCTTTCGGAACGATGCGCAGTGAAGCGAAATTTCGGGATCTAGGTTGATTTACGAATGATTTTTTGTATAATGATGGGAAAATATTATTAAATCAGAAGAATGAATTTTTTACCAACAAAAAGTTGTAAATTTAGATACTCTAGATTCATGAAAAATTTTGGTTATCTTTAAAATTTAAATTCTCGAATAGATGATGACAGAATTATTTTTTAATTGAATTTCAATCTTCTTTCTTCATATATTTTGTGAGCGTAGTTCCACCAAATATTGTGTTTTGTTTGGTTTTTTGACTGAATTTCAGTTGCATAAAAATTAAATTTTAAATATATTAAAAAAAGAAACATGCTTTATTTCATGGATCTGCCGTCAGAATATTTTTTCCCCTAATTTTCTCCAAATTGAATTTGAAAATTGATAATTAACATTAAACAAAATTATTTTTTTGAATCAATTTTATTTTTGTTTCAAAATGTAATTAATAAAATATTTTATAATTTATCATTGGCAAGTAAAACATTTCAAACAAACAAAAATTATTTTGTCGTTTAAGACTTCATTTATAAAGCTGAATTAAACATGTAATTACTGTAATTTATTTAAACTATTCTGTGATTTTTATTTTATGCACCGTTTTAAATATTCATTGTTTTGTGATAAAACCGTGTGCGGGTCCCTTATTGAAATTTCAGGCACACACACTATCTGTGTACGTACATGCACAAGTAGCGTGAGATGAGTTCAAGTACCTGCGCAGCGCACCAGCCGGGCTGAACTTCCGTTCTGTGCGAAAATACCACACAGCCAGCCAGCCTGTCAGTATATTTTCTCTCTGCGGATCCTCTTTCGCCAAAGAAGAGACACTCGTGCGAACTCCGAGAATTGCATTTTTAATATTACTCTGCTTCAAAGATTTTCACTCGCCACTAATAGATAAGCGATTTTTTTCTTTGGGAATTGGTGCACAGGTTAAAGGTTTTTGTGTTTACTCTGTAATTAAGAATTTAAATGGAGCCACATTGTAATTAAATTTGATAATTTATTGCATCTAACACACATTTTGAGCGTTTTGAGATTATGCAAGCAAACAAATTATGAATGTTACTAAATAAACAAGTAGAAGTAAACTTAAAAAACTTTTAATGTAACAAAAAAAGATACAGACAAAGGATATCAAACATCATTTTTATAATAATATTTAGAAAACCAATTAAAAATAAATATAGATAAAATAATTTTTTACATTTTATTTTAGAAGGATTTATTTTTAATAAAATTTAATTAAATATAATTAAAGACATAAGCTAAATAACACAGGAAAATGAACTGATTTAAATGACAAAAGTTCCCTGATCAACACTTTATTTTTAATAATCATAAACTAACAATGTAATAGATAATTTTATGATTAATATTATAAGAAATGTTAATTTTGCTCTTTGTATTGTTCTTTTTTATTAACCCCATCTTAAATTGGGAAAAATTGCCCATAATTGGAACTGAATAAAAAGCAACTCGCAACTAAATTTTTTTAATTTTATTAAAAAATTTTAAATAGTTTGAAGCAATTGAAATTACACTTTACATACATTTTTTTCAAACCTCATATTCCGTGCAATTTTGTAAGAAATTTAAGATAAAAGTGACTGATAGGTCTGGAAAAATCTCGCACAACTTTTTTGAACATTTCCCAGGTTAGCTTAATTGAGTTTTATTAAGACTGATTTTATTTTGCATGTAATTTAAGATAATATATAATATTTATATATCCAGCAGTTTTTTTTAGCAATTTCACAAAATATAATTTTCAAAATTTTTAATTATAAGAGTGACGACCTTTTTCACTTTCCGTTCCTAAAAAGGATTACGTTGTTGGAGTTAATTTCTCCGCAGCTTCAAGTGCGCAATGTGAGCGTCTTGCATCACATTTTCCCATTAACGATGAATAATTCTTTGTGCGTTATTCATTTTTCTATCTCACGCCAATCAAGCGAGGCGACGTATAATTACCATCGGCTCGCTTTCTTTTGTCGATTGAATTTCAAGCTGCAATGATCGAGTGACATTGAGCAGGCTTTCTCGTGTGAGCTGCACAAAAATCGGGGATGTTATAATTTTTGTCAGACACACACGCGACGTGAGAACCCGCTGAAATCCGAGTAAAAAGCGCGCGTAGATTAGGTTTCTGTTGTTTTACGACGACCGCCAAGGAAATCGGGAAACCGCAATTTTTATTATTTTTTTTTCTTTAAAAAATAAATTTAATTTGCATCTCCGTCTCACTTAATTTGAAATTAACATTCCTACCTCCTTGAGCTGCTGATTGACGTTTTCCTCGTCTGGATCTTCGGGCTGGACCGCCGTCGGTTCCGCTTGGTGGCTTTTCGATCGGCGGACGCTGGCTTGCGCGAGGGCCCTGGCGAACGCGCTTTGGAAGCCGACGTCGCTCGGATGCTCCTCGCCGGGCTCCATTCTTGCAGAAACAAAAAACAATCAAGGTTGTTACCAAATCCGGACGCGAATTAATGAACCCTTTGTGGTAATGAAATAACTGTCAGCAAAATTCTTTTCAACTCATCCATTTGTTTAAATATATAATATTTGTTAAAGTTATGTTAATGTTATAATTTTTCTTTTAATTGTTAAAAGACTAATCGGTGATTTTTCAATCAAATACAATACGTTAATAAGTTATCTATTGACGGGAACATTTTATTTCTGCATTGTGAGTGTAATTTATTTGAGATTCTTTTTATTAATTTACAGTTTTTTCTGATTCAAAATACAGCTGATTTTTTTCTATAGAAAATAATCTAAATTCCTTAAATTTTTCCAACTAAAGAATTAAAGTTGTTCAGTTGGAATAATAAGCTAAATTTTTGTAGATTACTTTACTTAGAAAATAAATTTATATCCCTAATATTGAATTGATGAATAAGATTATTGAAAATTTTTGTGATTTGCAATTACAATAAGTGAATTTTTGCCAGATCCCACACAATTGACACAATTAAAACTATTTTCAATAATACACTTTTCAATATAAAAAAAAATGATTATTTTTTTTTTTCATTAAAACCTTGCAAATTAATTCAGTCTAGTTTTATAGATAATTTTATGCATGAATCAGCTTTAATTGAATAATAAATTTAAGCCTAAAATTTCATGTTTTGTGCACGTTTTTTTAAAACGACAGATAAAAATCTGTTTGCAAAATTAGAAACACATAACAATTTAATTATTTTTATCATTTTAATATTGAAAACCATTAAAATAAAATTATCAATTGAAAAACTTCTCGATGTAATCATTTTTAAAATTAAAACAAAAAAACAGTAACTAAAAATTTGTCACTTTTTTTAAACCGAAGTTTAAAATTTTCCCTTTAAAATCACTAGGGACTAGATTTGCAGAGGCAACAAAATTGCAGAGTTCCAGATATAATAATAATAAAATCAATAATTATTTTAATATAGCACAATCAACTAATTTTATGTGATCTCTTCATGCCAAAAAATTAAAATTGTGAAAAGTTGCATTGGTTTTTTTACAAAACTTGGTTTATTGAATTTAAATTACATAAAATGTTCAGAACTGATTTCTTTTGAACCACTAAAAAATTAAAAAGCTCGATTCTATTAAAAAAAAAAAAAAAAAACGATTAAAGAAATGGAAATGTTGAACAAAACGGCACAGCCACTAAACAGAATTTCGCAGATTTTGATAGGAAAAATTGAACTTCATTGTTTTCTTAAGATTAATAAAGAAGTTCTCATTGATTATTTGACTTGTGAGATGAAATCATGAGTTTTTCAAAAAAGTGAAGTTCACGGCCAAGTTTGTGGCGATAGGAATTAACTGATTTAGAAGAAGGTTTTTCCACTCACCTGGCGATTGTCAGTCGGTGGTTTTCGTCCGGCGGCCACTTGCGCTCGCTTATCAAGTGCGACAAGAAGTGCGTGTGAATAATTCACGGAATGACGGAAAACCCTCGCCCCCTTTGTTGTCAGTCCGCCGTGCTGGTCGTTATCGCGCGCACCACTCGCTTCTTCCCATGCACTCTGGCATGCACACCGTGCTGGCTTCGCGCCGGAATAAATTACAGTCGTTGCCCGCCGTGAGTCACGAAGCGACTGAGCTTTTTCTGCTGCGCCGCCAAACAACGCACCGCGCTCCCTCTGCACCGCTACGAGCAAATTCACTCGCGCCGCGATTTTTCTCACCTACAACAGGATCTGCACTAGCAACGAAAAGTAACGCAAGTCACCGACGAGTGGCGTGCGTTTATTACGTATTAATTTTTAATTAGGAAATTAAATTGCATTGTTTTCAATAATTAATAGCAAATTTTTTCTCCAATTTAAAATTTTTGTATAGACCGAGAAGAATAAATAATAATAATTAGGCTTTGATAATTATTTTTTTGTTGACAATTCTTCAATTTCTAGATCTGACAATTTGAAGAATTTTAAATTCGTCAATTTGAGATCCATCGTTTCACATTCATTTGTAAAATATAATTATAATAAAGGTATTAAGTTTTCATAAATTCTAAATCCAAAAATAAAAGGCCAATCAATATCTCTAATTGCAAAACAGAAGGGAATTGGGCTTAAAAACAAACATTTTTTTTATATATATTTTATTTTTACTTTTATTCAACATCAATTAAATTTTTACCAAATAACATTTAACACAGGCATTTTTAACGCCACTTTAATACTTTAATTGAAACAGGTATAATTTGAAAACGTTGAAATGTCTACATGTTTTAATTCATTCTTTTCTCTCAATTCTATATCTCTCATAACACAACTAATTAGGCAGTCATTTTGGGGTTCCGGTGAATCAGTTTTGAAAGTGCAATTTAATATAATAAGAAAGAAAAATCGTGTTCAAAGAAAAAAGTTATTAATTAGACATTAATTACACCGAGTAAAACTGAGTAGCTGCCGAGGACTGCAGCTCGATTTGGCCCATTTTGAACTGGAGCCGCTGCAGCCACTTGAGGAGAAAAGGGTTGGCGGCCTTGACCTTCTTCGGGGTGGCCGAAGGATTCTGCTTGGCTTGGTTGAGGATGGCCGAGTGTGAGGGTGACTGACTCGAACCGGGGGCGGTCGACTGGGGGCCGCTCGGAGGCGGCGCTTCCGTTTGGAAGGAGTCGTTGGGGGCGTAGTTCCTGCAGGACTGGAGGCGCACCTGAAGGTGACCTGGCAGCTGGTTTTGGTGCGAGTAGAGAACGGGACACCACAGGGGCAGTAGTTTGCTCAGGACAGTCGAGTTGCACTCCAAAAGGGCCTCCAGTAATGACAAAAAGTGGAGATTCACCATCTCTGCCAGCTGGTAAAAGAAAATTGTAAATTTTTAATGACGAATTTATTGAAAAACTAAAAAAATTAAATTTTCTGGAAGAAGGAAATATGATTAAATGATATTGCATGAAATTTTATTAAAGTTTCTTATTACCAGAAGCTTAAATTTTTCTGAAAATTTAGTCCTTTCATAAATATTGATTAAAAGCATAGCAAGTTATTTATTTTATCAGGGTCTCTTATTGTTAGCTGCGATAGAGTTAAAAAAATGCCCTTTTTCCTAATTAAAAAAATTATCTACATACAAAAAATTCATATTAAATAATAATTTATAATAATTATAGTAAACAAAAATTATAATATACTTGAGAATTTCCTAAAATTTTAACCACATAGTCAACTTTAAAAATTTTATCTTTTCTTTATTTAAAACCAATTGAATTTATCAGAAACGATAATTGAAGATTAAATATAATTGTAAATCACTTAATTTTTGAGAAAATTTCCCCCTTTTATATCATATTTAATTCAAATTTAATTAAATTAACATACCACTTTTGAATGAGAAACCAACTGTAAAATGCAAGGGGTCACTTTGCACCAGAAGTCGAAGAGAATGGTCATGGTCACATTGTGTGCCTCTGCGTTTGCCATATTCGAACTGGGTCCCTGCTCCAAGTACATAGTCCACAGCTGCAATAAGCCATATTTAATTTTGGAAAAAATTTAGAAGATATAAAATTTTTATATACTAACCTGAGAGAGGATGAATGCGTGGAAAAGCGATGACATGTGCAGAACTGACGCTTTGCTCTGCTCGACAAAACCAGCTAGAATCACTTGGATGTGGTCAGCCACGTGACAAGAGACCTCTTGAGGAATCGGCTGACAGGTTATGGAACTGCAAAAATATTAGAGGTCAATTAATAAAGACTTAATATTTTAGAAATTATGCACTTTGATTTTTTATTTAATACAATTTTAATGCAAGAACCATTCTTAAAAAATTTGTGTGAATTGATAAGTGTTGGAATAAATTTGAAATTAAAAATCAGAGCTATTATTTGAAAATAAAAACCGATTAACAATCAATTAATAGCAAATCTGGTAAATATTATTTAAATTTATAATTTTATTAAATCAATATTTAGCTCAGGAAAAAATTTACCCGCTTTGGCTGCTGGAGTTTGGACCAACTCCCGGTTGAGGCTTGGAAGGCCCAATCAGGGCTGTGTGATAAAGTGAGCCCAGCAAGAGCCACGAAAGGAGGCGGATGTGACCCATACACTCGAGGAACTCCCTCGGGCTGAAAAATACAAATTTAAATAAGTTTAAAAAAACTGTAATTTATTTTTCCTGGACCGATTTCTTATAATTGCAGAAAATATTAATTTGAAATTTCTCACCCTTGTTGAATTGTAGTTGGCACATTGCAAAGCCAAGGGAGGTACCTGCTGACGGCCCTGTTGTCCCGGTTGTTGCCCCTGGTGATCTCCAGCGCCATGTATTGAGCGATTCCGCTCTTGATGAACCCTCCCAGGGTGTCGTCGTTCAAACCCACAGACACTCCTTTGCAGTTACTCTGTATGCAAGAAAAATATGTAGGAAAAACTATTTTCTAACAAAGAAACCTGTTCAAAAATTTTAGACACAAATTTCAACACAATTTGGATAACAATTTTTCTTATTAAAACACGAAAGGTCCAAAGGAATTTATGAAAATTGGTTAAAGCTCTGCATTTTTATTAATATTTAATACAAATTTGTATTAAAAACTAGTGAATTAATAATTTTTATGTTTTCTTCTGAACGAGATTTAATTCTACAAAATTTTAAATTTTTTATTAAAATAGTAAACAATTTTTTTTTTAATTTATTAATAATAATATAAGAATCAAGAATAATACGGTTTAAGGCTCAATAATGAGTGAATTTATTTCTCTCTTCTAAATACCTTAATTCTGCTCAGGGTGTGCACGTCTGTGAGAAACTCGATGGCGTCATTGATGTGCTGGCGCATGCACTCGCAGGCGTTGGTGTTGATCGGTGGACCACTGAGCAGCTCGCTGTTGACGCCCAGGTACTGCTCCATCCCTGTCGTCATCAGCAAACCTCCAGCGTCCTGTAGAAAAAAATATGCAACCGGCAGAGCACGGTTGTTTAGCAGGTGGCGTTCGAACAGAAATCAGAACTTGCCTCCAGAATGAAATTGACCAGGAGGAAAAAGTTGATGTCGGGAATGTTCGACTTGAATTTGAGTGCTTGGACCAACTCCAAAACCAAGACCCTAGTTAGCAGCAGACGTTCTCTTTCCTGCAGATTATTTATTTGAATAAATCAAGTGGTTGAGATATTACAATTTTGACATTACCCTGACGAAAGCTCTGCTGCAGTGGTAGCAAAGGTCGGCCAGCTGCTGGTATTTCAAGTTGAAATTCTGCACTCCGAAACTTAAGACTTTGGAGAAGGGTTCCAAAATTCCCTGAATAAGAGAGAATTTTAAAATTTTGGAGCTGATTTTGTTTTGAAAAATTTATTAAAAAAATTCAAGGAATATATAACTAAAAGATAATTAAAGTTCTGAAAAAATAAAAAATGAGCTTTATTTAAAATAAAATTAATTAAAAATAATTGAAAGAATCCTTTAAATTCTTCAGAAATATAAAAAATTGTTATCTGGGAAAATAAAAAAAATTGAATTATTTCTTTTATTCTACAAACCAAGCAATTTCTATGAAATAATGAAAAAAAAACATATTTTTTTTCTGATAAAGGTGCCTATTATTTTTGATCTTTTAACACTGTGAAAATATTTAAATTTTTCCTGCCTTGCATCCTGATGTCCCAGGCAGCTTCAAAGTCTGAATCATTAGCCTCAAAAGTGGTTCCACATTATCAATGAGTGGAAGTGTCAGGGCAATTCTCCTGAAAAAGGACTCCATGGCCGTCAGAAGTTGGCTCCACGTTTGAGACGAGGAGCCAATGCCGGTGTCCAAAGGCTGCAGACACTCGAGGTACAGAGCTATGTTGTGCCCCGTGTTAGGCACCATTTCCACGGGAAGGGTTTTCTTCGAATTCAAACTTTCCAGCAATAACTGGAGAGGTTGGACTGGATTCAAGTCTGTAAAGTCCAGCAGCGCTTGAGCCACACTCCGGAAAAACTGGAGCTTCATTTGCTCTGCGTAAATTTGTTTACATTATAGATGGCAAAAGGACTGTTTAAATTTGCTCACCTGGCACTTGAGTTTGGAAAATTTGGGTGAAAATTCCATTTGGAGCGAGTTGGTGGAGGACGCAGCGCAAAAATTGGTTGGCGACGCTCACGGTGCTGCCTGGCAAGTGGGTCTTTGAATCGTTTTGCCAGTAAAAGGGAGCGTTTTGGGAAACTCTGAAAAAATTTAAAGTCATTAAAAATTTTCACTGAATTCTTGTTTTTATAAAGGAAAATGAAAAAATATATGGACTATTTATTGAAAAATTGATAGTTCTACAAAACCATAAAGATCAGTTTTTACATTTTAATCAATCACCCGAAAATACTAAAAACTGAAAGAACATTACGATTAATGAATAACTTTGGTTGGTTTAAAATAAAACATAAAAATTGTATAGTTTTTGGTCAATTTTTTACTCACTTTGAGACGATTCGGAGAATTTCGGGCAGCATTGGGGCAGCTAAATTTGGTTCCCCGTGCATGAAAGTGCCCAGAATGATGATGCAGAGGCCCACATCTTCAGGCGTGTACTCTTCAATGGTGAGGCCACACTCTGAGCAGCGCTCCAAAACCTGATCTTCTGTCCATTTCGCACCGCCTTCATTATTGAGGTCTGGCTGACCTTCCGCCCCTTGTGTACCAGGGTGCCTAAATTATAAAAGAAAATCAATTAATTATGGAGAAAGTCGTGATTTTGTGTTTTACATCTACACAAAAATCAAAGTTCATTTAAACAGTATTAAAAGCAGAATAAAATAAATTATTTTAATTTTTTTAACTTAAAAGTATCTTGCTAAAAAACGACTCTAAACTTGCGCTTTTGAACATAAATTCAAGCAAAAAATATTCACTCAAAATTATTAAAAGAAATGTATTATTTAAAATATTTTTTACCAAGAACCAGCTGGTCTGACAGTGTGACTTGTAGCCTGAGTAGCCGCTACGGAGAAAAGGCCACCCTTCCTTGACCTTGGCCGACCTTTTTCTTCACCTTTGAGAAATTTTCAATTTTTAGTAATTCACGTTTAATCATAAATTTCCCTACGATGCTTTCTGTCGTGGTGGTGCCAGTTTTTGTGCAAGTGTGTTCCTTCGTCACTGACGTGCTCCTCGACCTTGCTGGAGGTCGCCTGAGCAAAGGGTGAAGTGTACATGTGGGGTGGCGACTCCACTAGCGCCGTTTGCTTTTTCAGGATGCGAGGGGAGCTGCGGCTGTCCTGCTTTTCCACCTTCGACTCCAAATCTTTTGGCCTCGAAGCTACAAATTTGATTTTAATTTCAATTTTATAAATTGTACAATAATTTTTACTCGAGGGTTCGATGTCACTCAGGTGGAGGCAGGTTTTCATTTTGTCTGCAAAATTGTACACCGTCTCTCGGCTCGAACCAATTGGCAAGAGTCTCTCCTGATTCGGAATCTCCAGTGAGGATAAAAGACTGAAGTCAGCCTCTTTAACTTCAATCGGAGAAGCTAATTCATTAAATTAAAAGAAATTTATTTTTAACAAAATTTAATTCTTACAAATTGTCTGCACTTCCATTTTCGAAAGTGGCGAATCGGGAGAGCCAAAGAAGTAATCTTCGGATCTGATTGAGTGTTGCTGAGAAACTCGGACTGTGAAGGAAATAATATGTTAAGTTGGAAATGAAAAATTTTGGTAATAAATTAAAAGCGCTTTTTAAAAAAATTTGCTTGAACTGACAAAAATTAGAATGAATTAGGAATTTTTTTCTTGTTTTTGGACAAAAATTAACTTATTTTTCTAAATTTTCTCTGATTTTGATCATATCTCTCATTACAAAAGCGTTTTGAATATCCCATTCATTCAAATTTTGCTTCTCTGATGAGCATGAATAAATGTCGAAAATGATACTTACATGGTTTAGTTGTGCTTCGAGGAGAGGAGTGAACAACAGTGGCTGCTTGGCACACTTCAGCAGTAGCCCACGTTGGCTCCTAAATTCAATTTTTTTTACATTATTAATTATTGAATTATTTTAAAATTCATCCTCACGATTGAAATAGTGCGCGGCTGCTCTTTTCCGAACCTTGGTTTTTCCGAAACGACAACATTTGCTCTATAAAAAAGTATTTTCAATTGAAAATTCGGAACATAAAAAAATGATTTCAAAATACCTAGAAATGACAACAGTTGCCACAGCTGGCTGCTCCACTACAGAAACTCGCGCTTCCTCGACAACCGTGCATGAAACAAGCTCCTCAAATGAACCCTAAAATATTAATTTAATTTTTGTAGATTTTTTTATATAATATTCTGTACATGGAGGCTTTGGTGAATTGTGCTGCCAGACTGTGGACTTTCAGGAATCGCTGCTAACTCAGATTCAGTGTCATCGGCCTCGAAGCTGAAATGTTTTTTAATAATATAATAAAAAAATAAATGATTCGAAAATTTCGAACCTGGATGGTTGGCGCTTTCCATTTTCCATTTCGTCGGCTGCCTGGTGCACCTGAATGTCTTCCTCCCAGTGCGTTTCCATACTATTCGTCACAAATTTGGCCGGTCTAGCAATGGCCCCAGAATGATCTTAAGAAAGATTTAAAACATTAAAATAATTAAACATTTATTAGATTTATTAACTATAAAAAAAATCAAACCTTGCATCTGAGGCATGGTTGGTGATTCGCAAGCGTTATCCATGCTCACGTCACCACAAGCATTTCCTAAAGAAGGTTGGCTCACATCTATAAAATTCATTTTGTTTAAAAATTGTTTAATTAAATAAGCAAAATCAGTAGAAACATCCCATACTAAAAATCTTATTAAATCTTTACGTAACATTAAAACCAGTTTTAGCAGGTTTTCAAAAAGTTTCTATACAAAATTCGAGAGGTTATTAACATTAGATTCCAATTTTTTTTTTGTCTCAAAACTATCAATTTTCAAGCTGAAAAATGAAATTAAGAATTTCAGAAATTCCCCAAACCCTTTTAAGTTTAAAATCAAATTTCCAACCTCTTGACCTACTCGGAAGTGAACCGATCACAAGAGTGCCTGGGATGCGCCTGCAGTAGTGTTGCTGGGCGTCCAAAGTGTTCAACACAATGCGAATCAAATACTGCAGTTGGTTGTAGAAAAGTGGCTGGTTGAATTGGTACTGAAATTGTATGTTCAAATTTCCTTATTATTGTTTTTTTTCTTTTTCATTAAATTTTACCTTGTACAGAATAACAAGGAGTGAAATAAACCAGTTTCGTCTGATTTGAGGCTCGAGGAGCCACAACGTGTAGTTGCTAGAGTTGCTGAGAATTTCGTGATTTCCAACAAATGTGGAGGAATAGTGCTGACTGGAGGGGCAGTAAATCAGGAGGGTGAGCACAGTTGGAAGGGTGAGCAAGCCTAAAAGGTGGTTGTGGTCCAACAGTTGCGGGAGATTTGCCATGAAGACGCGAAAGATTGCTGAATTTCTGCAAAAAATGTCATTTTTTTGTGAAGATTTAAATTTTAAATATCTCTTTTAATAATGATTTGTAGTATTTATCAATTTATAGCAATTATGAAATAAATTTATTCACAAACCCCTGTTTTTACAATTACTGATTCAAATTTATTTTCATTAAAATTCAAGAGAGAAGTCATTAATTGAATTAATCAAAATTTACCTTAGCTTTTGTGCCGAAACGTAAAATCCGCGTTCAGACCAGTTGTATCCGAGAAGTAGATACATGTGCCGGAGAACAATGTTCTGAACTTTTGCAATGTTTTTATCATCCGTTGGGAAAGCCTACGAATTTTAATAATATTACAAAAAATCTTACTTAAGCAAAAATTCCCATACTTGGTCAGGTCTGGACATGAATTGCATCAGAAGAAAAACCAAAAGATGGATAGTTTCGCTATCCGACTCTTCGAATTCGATTATTCTTTGAAGCAGGCCGCACACCTGGACGTCTTCCATTATGTTGCTTGTGTGCATTTGTCCCTCTAGAAATTAAAAAATTTTTATTTTTAAAATTTCTTAATCCAAATCATGAATGAACAATGACAAAATTTTCCTTGAATTTGATTAGAATTTTTAAACAACGTTTAAATTTAAAAGTTTCTAATTTTAAATATTAAATAAAATTATTAAAACAATCAATGGTATTGAATATTAAATAATAATATTTATAATTAAAATTAAAAAATATTTTTTATCAATTCAAAATTATCTAAAAAAATTCTAATATTTTTATTTTTCTCAGTCACTTTTGTTTTATCAGAACAACTTTGCACTGAGTCAGCATCAGATTAATTTTATCTACAAACAAGTGGAGAAAGTCAATTACTAAATATTTATGTTGTGGCTTCTGCAAAGAGATGCCGCGACGATTCAATGTGAATTTCGTCCCCACTTGACCCCACGCGGCGCCTTATCGCAGCGAACAATCGACCCTTCTTCTATACGACACCGCGACCGGACGCTGGGAATATATTTATCGACCATGCTCGGAAGCGCGCGGGTCGTCGTCGTTTTGCTAGTGGGAGTCGCGGCGGCGAACGCCTTGGTCGAGCTGAAAATGCTGCCGGACTCTGGCAAGGTGCCGCTGGTCGTCAACACCTGGCCCTTCCTCAACGCCACCATCCAAGGTCAGTAATTTTGGTTATCAGCGTGATAGAGGACAATAACTATTAGAGGTTATCGAATTTGTTTTATCTTTTGAAATTATAATTTTAAAAACAAAAACAGGCTTCTTATTTGAAATAATTTGAATTTCTTAAATGGATAATATGGATATAAGCAAAAATTACAAAAGAAGAAAAAGGTAGCCCTAATTTGTAGCATAATTTTCAGGTTTTCATTGTGTTTTGTAAACTATTAATTAAAAAATTATTTAGTTTAGTATGGTTCAATATTTTCTAGTGAATTAGGTAATTTTTTTAATTTTCAGCGTGGAAAAGTGTTTTCCATCAAAAGAAAAATGCCGTCGATTCTGTTGTGCGGGGTTGCAGCACTTGTGAAGAGGAGCAATGCGACGGTACCGTCGGATACGGAGGAAGTCCAGATGAAAACGGGGAAACAACTTTGGACGCAATGATAATGGATGGGTAACTGAGATTGGTCAAAAATTGAAAAATTACTAACTCAATAATATTGAGCATAATTCAACATTTGCAATTTAAAAGAAAAAAACCTGAAAAACATTCATTAGCTTAACGAGAAAAGCATACTTTTATATAACATGCTTTTGCTTAGTAAAAATCTAATCTAATAAAATTCTAAGCACATTCGAAGAAAAATATTTTAATTTAAAGATTGTCATTGTGCTGAAATAAATGAATTTTTTAGATAAAAATAAGTATGAATATCTAAGAATAGTAAAAGAAAATGAATTTATCAAATACAAATCTACAATTTAAATTTTTTTAGTGTCACAATGAATGTTGGCGCCGTCGGTGCTTTGCGTAAAGTGAAAAATGCGATCGGCGTGGCCAAACACGTCCTGCACAACACGAAGCACACTTTACTCGTAGGGGAACAGGCGACTGATTTTGCCGATAAAATGGGTTTTCCGGTCGAAAACTTAACTACGGACAACTCGGTCATTATCTATAACATCTGGAAACGTCATTTGTGCCAGCCGAACAACTGGCTTGTGAGTGAATTTAAAAAAAAAATAAAGCGTAAGTTTTAAAAGGTTTTTGTAGAACGTATCTCCTGATCCGAAAACTTCGTGCGGGCCCTACGCGCCCTCGGAGTTTAAAAAAGTCACCAATGCACATTCAAATAGCGCATCCGAAGAAAGTCACGACACGATCGGGATGCTGGTGATTGATTCAAAGGGGGACGTGGCGGCGGGAACCTCAACCAACGGCCTCAGACACAAAATTCCAGGGTAATTCAGATTTCATAATATGCAATTAACAAAAAGAGATAATGCTCATTTCTCCAAATTCAAAATATTTTTCTTCAATCAGAAATTAAATTAATTATTTATTTTTTAAATTTCATTTGTGAATTGGGCAAAGGGTTAGCAAAACAAAAATTTAAACGCTCAAAATTTTCCAATTTAAATAATATAAAGAACAAGTAGAATAAATAGTAGTTTTTAAATTTTTTTTTAAAATTTTAGTAACACAATCATATTTAACAAAATCTAATGAATTGAAATTTCTTTGCAAATTAAATAAGTATTTTTTATTAACTGAGCAATCTGAATTAAAAATTTAATATACTTTTATGATTAATCTTAAAATCTTTCAAAATGTTTTGTTATTATAATTTTTAATCAAATTAAAATTAAAAAGCCGTGTTGGAGATTCGCCCATACCAGGGTCTGGTTCGTACGCGGACAACAAAGTCGGTGCCGCCTGTGCGACCGGAGACGGAGATGTTCTCATGAGATTCCTGCCCAGGTAATGCCAATTTTATATAATAAGAAAATAATAATAAATAAATACAAAACTAATTTTTTTTTTTTTAGTTTCTTAGCCGTAGAGGAAATGCGTCGGGGACTAACGCCGACCGCTGCGGCCGAAATGGCCATCGGGAGGGTGATCGAGCACTACCCTGACACAATGGGCGCCGTCATCGCCGCCAACATCGACGGCGACTTTGGCGCCGCGTGCAGCGGAATGAAGAATTTCACGTTTTGTGTTGCGAACGCAAAATACGGCGGCCCGACTTTGATCACGATTTCCTGTCTCAAACAACAGGGAAAAAACAAGTTGGAAAATTAATTAGGATTTCAATTAAAAATTGCCAAACACGCATTCTTGCCATAACGCTCGGCGATAATTTTGTGGTTTGCAAAAACGCTTCTTTACAAAGTTGTGTTAGAAATTTAAAAAAATTTCCACAAATATTTTTCAAAATTAATTGATTAGGTGGTAAAATTCTCTTCAAACTATAAAGAAAAACGAAAAAATGTATTCTCGTAAATTAAAATGATTAATAAATTTGTACTCACCAAGCCCAAATCTGCCAGAACTGCGTCTTTTGAGCACAGGCGCCGAAAACTGACGGTTGTAGACCTTTTCTTTGTCTATCACATTGGTACTTCCTGTGAATAAATATTTTCTTATTGAAGTATACATTTTAAAAATTTTTTTTTTTAAAGTTTTTTACCTGTTTTATCAGCCCTCGGAAGCATCTGTGCGGGCGCGGACATGGTGCGTTTGTAGGGCCACTTGGTGCCGAAACTGGCACTCAGGGTTTTGATGAGCGGGGGCGGCTGGTGGGGAACGTTGGCGGCGGCACTGCTCGTCGGTGAGTCAGCTTGACTGGGGCCTTGGGCGCTGCCCCCCGAGTTGCTTGTGTCAGACTGGCTCAGGGCCTCATGGGCGCGGTTCAATTTGCGCAAAAAGGTTTCACTGTTCAAGTCGGAATTGCGCAGATCTGGAAAAATATAAAAATGTTTTCTGTTCATAGTAATTGGAAGAAAATTTAATTATATTTGTGATTGACCTAATATTATCTTTTAAAAAGGAAAAAAAAATAGAAAGGTGCAAACAAAAATCCTTAAAGATTTAGAAATATCAGGCAAAAATTAAAATTAATTTATAAATATATTACCTACAATTTAATTAAATTCTATATTCATCTCTAAAAGTTGAGAATATTATTTTTTTAAATTGAATTTTATTACAAAATAAATTATTTTGCATCTCCTTTATGCGGTGAGAATTTAAAATAAAATTAAATACATTATATAAATTTAATTTTCGAATTTGAAGCCGTAATTACCTCTCAAGTATGTGATGTCCCCGCATTTCTCAGCATTGATTTGCGCCTCGATAAACAGCGTGTCGAAGCGATTAAGGAAAAAGTCCCAGGACAAAATGTGTCTGTCACTCATTGAGTTGTGCAGCTGGTAGAGGGACTGCAGCACCATGGGTCTGTCCACGATGACGCTGTCAAACTGTGACTCGAGACAAGTGACCAGCGACTTGATGGCCCTGTCGTGCACAGTGCCAATGAAAAGGGTGGCCCTTTGCGCCACCTGGACGTTGATGTCATCCATACTCGAGATCAGGTAGCAGAACGCGTTGGCCAAAGCGGACTGCAACGCTTGTTGGTTTCTCAAAGGGGTGCTGTCCAGGAACCGGGCGATCACCGTCACTCTCTCAACTTTTAAATTAAAAAATATGTCATTCAATTTTTTGTTAAAATCTAATTAATGTAAGCGTTTTAAAATTTCCAGTAATTAAAGAACTAAATCGTTTTTGAAAAAATTATGAAATAGTAAAAAGAAATTAAACCACTTTTTTAAAATAAATTTTAATAGATATAAATGATCGATATTTATTGTTACCTGCCGTGAATCTCTGCTTCCAATCTTGATGGTGAAACGCTTTTTGGACAACGTTCCAAAAAACGTCCAGTCCGCAGGGCAAAGTTATGCAGTGCAAAAGAACAGGGACGCAGATTTCGCAAATGTGGCCATGCTCTGCATTTAGTAGATTCCACAAGCTGCAATTTATAAGATTCGAGTTCATCCAAACTTTGAATTTTGACAAAAAAACGAGTGATCCATTAATTAACACTCAGAAGTTAAAAGTTATAAATTTTATTAATTACTTCAATTTGTTTCTTTAATTATAATAATTTTTCACAGAAATTTCAGGTGACCTTTTTTTAATTCTCACCAGCAAAATTATAATTATTTAAATCATGGCATTTGAGTAATTGAAAGAAAATCAAATCTTACTTTTCAATCAAAAGATTTTCTTGGCACCAAATCAGAAAACCACGGTGATCCCTCGACGCTTTGACCAGGGCATCGCCATGCAGCAAAAGAATGTGCAGGGACTGCAGAATGTGATAGAGCACATCTGGCTCGGTTGTAGTTGGTAGCTCCTAATTAAATTTTCATTAGTTTATTACCAAATTTAATTTCCAAAAAATGTTTACCTTCAGCAATTGATGGCAGTACTGCAGCTGATCTGGAAGGTCACCAAAACTGAACCAAAATTTCCCAACAGACGTTTTCCAAAATTCCCTGTTGTCAGCCGGCTGATCTATGTCAATAGGCTGGTCATTCTCGCCCACCAGCGTGGCCTTTTGCACATGAACTGTAGCTGTTGCTGTTTAAAAATAATAAATGCATTATTATTTTTTTCAATATAATGAGATTCTAAACATAACAAAAAATGAAAAAAAAAAAATGCGATGTATTTGAAAAAGTTTTCTAACGTTTCCTAATTGAACGATTTTTTTCCAATTCCTAAAACACTAGTAAATTTTGGGCATAAATGAATTTTCTGTAAATCTTTTAGAGAATCTCAACTTTAGAATGAAGTTTTTTAAGGTTGTAAGGCCCTAGAAAATTTATTTAGTCAACCTACCAACATCAGTATCAGTGATAGTTACGGCCCTGGCAATGGCGGGTACAACTCTTTCCGACGGAATGATCGGCGCCAAATCTAATTGCTCCGACACAGTCTCGACCGTGGCGGTCATAATCTGAAATCGGATCACAAATGAAAGCCATTTTCCTTTTTTCAGAAGAGGCTAAACTGTTCTAAAAAAAAAATATATAATATATTCTACCGCTCAAAACTTCAAACACGAATATTGTCAAAATGCAAAAACTGCGTCAAAAAGCTGGAAAACCCTTCTTTCTATTGCCAAAACTACAAATAAACGGCGCTTAATTGAAAAAAAAATAACAAAAACTTCACCAGTGCTAGAGTGCAAATTCGCAAATTTTGACAAAATGCATTGTTAAGCTAAAGGAATATTTGTACAAGTGAAGAGGGAGCACTCAACACCTTACTGTTCTGACTTGGGATGATATCCAACTATCACTTACAAAGAGCTAAAAAGGAGGAGAGTTTCTAGTGAAACGCTTACTTTGGCGAAATTTTGATTTTTTTACCTGCGGCATGTTGACTAACACATTTCCCACGGTGTGCGTTTCTGGAAGTGGCATCGTGATGACCACGTCTGACGGCCGCATTTCTTGCTTTTTCTCAGAGTCAGGCGACGACTTGTTCTTACCTTTCTCAATATCCTCACTGGAGAAAACTTCAATCTCACTCTAAAACAAAAACAAACAAAAAATATTATTTTTATAAATACAAATTGGCAAAAGTTTAGCTTTCAGCTTTCAATTAATTATAAAGATCAAAAAGTTCAATAAATATGCTACCTAAATAATTCAATTTAAAATTTAATTCTTGAGGATAATAATTAAAGAGAAAAAAAAATTATTAATGGACTACCGAGCTTTTATTTCATTCAATCCATTTTAATTTTCTTTTTTTTTTCATTGATTTTTCAAGTCTTATACTAGGTACCTCTGGTTGCTGTTGTGGCAAATCAGGTGCGATGTAGGTGACCAAATTGAGGGCCATTTGGTGCCAGATGACCCTCGACTCGCAAAATAGACACTCCTCTCCTCTCTTTTCGTCACACCTGTGACTGGTGACCCAGGGCGAGATGATCATGTTGCGCAAGAGGCGGCAAATATCGGTGGCCAAGGCGCCCCAAATGCCAGAGTGCCTCTCCATACTTTGCAGTTGCATCTATTTTTTATTTTTTAATAAAGAAATCCTTCACCAAGAGAAACATATTTTACTTGTTTGAGGAGAATATCCAGCATCATTATGCAGCAGGATAGATTCAATTCTGGATCGGATTGAAAACCATTTTCACTGCTGGCGTTATTTGCTGGGCCCTCGTCTTCGGACAAAGGTGAGTTTTGGTCAGAATCGTCTTCGACTACTGGAGCTGGAAGAGATTTCTTTTTTAAAATTATAAAAAAAATCCATATTTTTTAGCTTCAACGTAGTCAAAATTTTCTGGAAATTGGGATTCAATTTCGTCATTACCAAATTATTATTATTTTTTTTTTTTTAATGAAGAAGTTATTTAAACTAAATTTAAACCTACAAATGCTTGTTTTTCTAGAGCCGTTATCCTGCAAACTGCTCAGTTTCTCCAAATTGCTTGGTTTGCGCAGATATTTGGCATCCTCGGGATTGGCAACTTTCATAGTTCTAACTCCTTCACCAAACATTTTCATCAAAATGTTGATTTGCACCACAATCTCCAGAGACGTGAGAAACTAAAAAATAAAAAAATGATAAGATAGGCATATTAAAATATGAATAAAATTTACTTGAATCCAAGTAAGAGTTTGCTTTTGAACAGAAGCAGATGTCCTGCTGAAGCGTACAATTAGAAAATTGTACATCGTTTTGGAGTCAAAGCCCAACGGACTCATTTCAGGGTCGAGAAGTTTGCTGCAATATATAAATTTTGTAATTATTGCTTTAAATTTTATTAAAAATTTATACCTTAACAGAATGGAAATTTGCGACGCAACCTCGGTGTTCATGGTTGAGTTGATTCCGAATCTCTGACTGGAGTTTGCGTTTGAGTCGGAGACCAGGGCCTCCATCCAGTGGGGCATCACTTGGTCCCAGATTTCAGGGGTCACCACTTCGTACGGAACCAAACACAAAAGACGGTTCAAGCCTGCCTTCAAATGTGAGCTTTTTCCGCTCAACGTTTCCCTGCAATTTATAAATGTAAAATATATTTTATAAGGATTTTTTTAGAAAAATTACCAGTGGCCACCCATTCGAGCGTATTCGGGCGGGTGGGGCAGCAGGCAGGAAACCAAAATTTGAGGATGATTTTCAATTACGGCCGCGATCCAAGGGGCCACGTGCTCAGTTTTGAGCTTTTCACTCGGACTCTCCAGATGGTCTATAAGAGTGATAAGAAAAAATAGAAGACTAAACTTTTTCAAGGAATTAAGACAAATGCAGATAAATTAATGAAAATTCTGGAAATTGACAAAAAATGTAATAAAAAAAATTTAAATTATAATTACTTTCATTCAAATCATATTTGCTGATTTTTTTATTATGAAAATTTAATAAAGAAATAAATCCTGTTACCCTGTTATTTTATTTTGAAATTTGTTTGTAAAAAGGATTTGATGATAATGTACAAAAAAATATTTTTAACTAAATTACATAAAATATGAATTAAAGTGTATTTAATTACCACTTATGTAGGCAGTTGCAGCGTACCAGTTGCACAACATGCTGATCAGCCTCCCGATAGTTTCGGAATCACTTTCGGCCGAGGGCCAGCAAAGACTAACCAGAAGCCAAACCCCATGTCTTGACATCATAAGTTTGTCCTCGACGGTGTCAAGCGTTTGCGACGAGTTGACACTCAGGGTGCCGGCAGACTTGCTGGCGTGCAGGTCCATCAGGTTGCTCTGCACGTTCAGCATTTGGAGACCCTCTTTGACGGAGGAGCTCTCGGGAATTGAACCAGCATTGCTCGCTTCTTGCAACAAACTATCAACGAGAAAAAAATTAATGAATAACAAATAATTATGATGTATACTATTAAAGTCAAATTTTTTCTAGAATAATTTAATTAAAATGCATACAGTGATTTAAAAAAAAATAGCATTAACATAATTGAAAATAACAAATATACCTGACGATAGATTCAATCAAGAAAGTTTGAACTTCAACTTCCATTTTCCATGCAGAAGTGAGTGCCGTGTGGTAAACGTGATCGTAACCCCTGCGGTTGTTGTGGCGAGATTGGTGGCAAGACCTGCAGTGTCTGATAGGGTGGTTTGTGTTGTATGAGGCGCACTCCATTGAAAAACACACCGACACTGCCTGTTTGTCCGAAGAGCGGCAGCTTTTGCTCTCGCAAAATAGAGCAACCTAGAATAATTGGTTTTAAGCACCAAATTAATTGATAAAATAAAATTTAAAAAAAAAAATAATAATAATACCAAATCAACTGCACATAGGTTTTATTGTCATATTTTACGCTGCTTAATTTTTGCAACGAAGAGCAGAATTGTGTTCTTCCAGGTAATTTTTTTTGTAAAACATAATTTTACTAGGGCCAAAGACATTGGCAGCACTCTTGAAATGTATCATGTTATCATGTAACTTACTTTGTAAAACATCAAAATTTTCTTAGTTAAAAAATATTACAGTAGCAATTAATACAAAAAATATAGTTCACGTACAATAAAGATAAGATTTTAAAGTAATAAACAATTTGAATTAAAAATAGAATATTAAAAAAAAAATCATTTCTTTACCTGCTGCATGGGGTGAATGACGTCATGGAAACTGAGGTTTGCAGAGCACCTATGAATCTCATTTGCACACTCGATGCACAAATAAAGCGGTGGCGGCTTTTCATTGGCAAAAGTAATGCTTGCGCCGTGATCAAAACAAACTTTAGCCGCTTCGGCAGTTCCAGTGTTGGGACAAGAGTCCCTTTGGCACAACAGCGGCGGCCAGTCGGCTGAAACAGACGGACAAGGGGCTCTATTTTGCACTAAAGGTTCACACAACTTGGTAACAAATTGGCGCTGCTCGATTGAAAATTTCACACTCACCCGCCAACCGGACCTGGTGGGTCGGCGTTCTTTTCTCAATGGCGTTGATGTTGAAAGGCGGCCAGTAGTAGAAAAGCAGTTTGGCCGCACTCGCCCTCGCCCCGGCCGTTCCGTATGCGACGATGCACAGCAGGTCCTTCACCACCCCTGGTTTCATTGACATCAAGCATTCAAGCAGTTGGCAGTGGTGAGCTAAAAGTAGATAATTAAATAAAAATGGAAAAATATAAAAGAAAAAAAATATCCAACCTGAATTGTTTGAAAACTGGAAAACCATCATTAGAATAGCAGAAACAGACTGACTGGCGTAGGTTTCTTCAATTTGTAAATGCTGGTGCTGTCGATCTTCTTCCTCAGATTGAGGTTTTCTCGCTAGGAAAAAATTGTTTGTTGTAATGGAATAAAATACAATTTTAAATTACAAGTTTTTACAATTTCATTTGCAAAAGGTAATAAAATTTAATTGCAATAAATCTATTTATTTTAAAACAAAATTTAAAAAATAATATATATATATTTTTAAAAACCTCATCAATTTCAGTCAAGTGATTATAGAAAAAAATTTGACATGAAATGAAGTTTTAGATCTCCCGCCTCACAAGGCTGTTGTGCCAGTTGTATAAGCTGAAATACTCACTGATCGTGAACGGCAGAATGTAGAAGCAGAGGCAGTTGACGATCTCCTGGTGCAGCGTGTCCGGTAGCACGGCCATCGAACTGGCCACCAGGTAGGGCAGCGTGTCGATGGTCTCGGCGTCCAGGAAGGACAGCAGGCAGCCGAGACACTGCAGGACGGCCTGTCCGAACGAGTGGAGGCCGTACTGGATGAGCGGCGCCACGTCCATCAGCTGGACGATGGCGTTGTACAGACCCTTGTAGTCCAGGTTGGGGAACAGGGCCATGCGGGCCGTGTCCTGCTCGCAATTGCGCAGCATTTCCAACGGTGAGTACGGCACATCCTTCAGAACACCTTTTAAAAAAATGACCAAATTAGAAAAAAAATTTTGAAGTTCAAAAATATATGCGCTCAACTTTTTTTAATTTACATTTGAAGGAATAAAAATATTGAGAAAAACCAAAGAAATGCAAAAAAATATCAGATCATTGGGAGTTGCAAGTTATCTTTTGTCAAAATTCAAAGTAGGAGAATAAAATTGTCTTTTTAAGATTTTATTTTAGAATAATCAAGTCTTTTGATTTTAATTTTTGGACTGTTAATATTGCTTATTATATTTGCTTTAAAATAATTTTTAACTTATCAGCTTAAATTTAAGCATAAGAATTCAAATTATGGCAAAATGTTATAGCTCAGCAGTCTAATTAAAATTATCTACAATTAATGAGATAAATCTGTGTACTCACATAATAATATTTGCGAAAAACTTTTGATGGTGTTTGCGATGTCCAAGCCGGAGGGCACAGGAACGATTCCATGCAGAAGCCGCAGTTGGAAGTCGTGCAGGTTCCGGATTTTGGCCGTAACTTCAAACAATATGAAATTTATTCAATTGAATGTCGTTTTAAATTAAATTTGTTAATTTTCAAAGATGTTTGCAGAGTTTTGAAATTTCTTGGGACAAGACGCCCGAAAATAAAAATATTAGTAATTGGGACAATTTTTTTTATCTTCGAGAGATCGATAAACTTTTGTCCCTTGCTTCTACTGGGCGTCTCGTTTCTCGAATGATTCCAAACATCAAATGTCATATCTTCAAGTTAGAAATTTAGTCAAAAAATTCAAATTTCAACTCACAAGCGGCCACTCGCGTTGCCATTTCTGCTCGAAATTCAAAGGAATCGGGGCGCGGAGGCCATATCTGCTGTCAAAGGCACGTTCTCCAGCGGCGGCACCCAAACAGACCACCCACGCACGCAGGCGCCCCTGAGTGGTCCAGTCCACTCAGAGGCAAGGGGTAGAGGCGCCGGGATGAGCACCGAAAGGGCGCATGACGGGCGCTCAATGGATGCTGCTCCCGGAAGATGGCACCAAGGCCCGACACGGGATCTGCGTGGTGAGGGAAGAAATTTTGGTTGAGATCCGGAAGATGGGGAGACTGCAACAAAAATTCAATGAAATTGTTAAAGTAAGAATTTTTTATTAATTCTGCTAGTTTTTTTTATTATTTGAATATACAAGTTATTAAAAGTTTTCAATAAAATTGAAAAAAAAAAACTATATTATTCCAACATTGAATCTCTGCAATATGTAATAAAAAATGGGTAAAATGTAATGAATTTCCCTGAATTTGAAAATATACATTTAAAACTATGCTTAAAAAATTAAAAATCTTTCTTTCAAAACAAAAAAGATAAATTAACGAATTTTTTGGTTGCATAGCAAGAGGTCTGCAGATTTTACCTGATTTGACCTATATTTTTGCTTATTAAAAACGCTCTATAGAAAAGCAGCCAATTTTAAAACCAATAGGGGCAAAACTGCATTACATTTTAGAATTATATCTCATATTTAGAAAAGCGAGTGTAAAAAAAAAACAATATTCTGCAACTTCGGTGGTGCAGAGTGCAGAGTAACGATAGATTGACGATACATTAATTTATAACAAAATTTTCATTTTTCCTCTTTATCGTTTGGCTTTGCCTCATCTTTGCTTAGTCACTACTTATGCATTATTGTTTACAATGCAAGCAGCAGCCCCGTTTCTCCTTTCCCGCAGGCAGGATAATCCCCGCGCCAAGTTAGGAAACTGCTTATTGTGGCTGGGCTTGATATGCAAATTTTGATTCAGAGTAGCAGCGCACCGGTGCAGCATACACGTACATTCGCCTGCAGCTCAGCGAAATCCACCCAAGGCCCGACAACAAAGGGTTGACCTGGTTGCACACACGTGTCTCTCACCAGGAGGCGACAGATGCGGCCCACAGTAAATTGTCAATTTAAAAATCAATTAAAACAAAACCCATTTTCCAGAGCTTTGTCGGTAAAAGCCAGAGAACAGTTAAATACATCTAAGAGTTGGCAGTACAAAATTTAAAATTACCAGAATTTTTGTGTGTGTTAAATAAATCCATTAATTTACTGTCCTGAAACATTTTGGCATTTTGGTTTATAAATTTTTTTAAGTTTGATAAGAAAAGATAAGGGCTGTTATGTAGAAATATTGTATATTTGAGCAATTGTGTATTTACAATTTTATTTATTAACGTTTTATCTATACTGGGGATGGAAATGTATTTAAAATTATTAAATCTTTTCCATTTTATTTGCTTTAGCTAATAGAGTTGAAATTGAAACTAATTTATTGAAAAAGAAAAGATAGAAACACAAAATTAAAATAATATTAAAGAATTGCAAGGCAAAAATTATTGTCCATTTCACAAAATAAACAGTCAATTGATTTATGGTTAAACTAATGTTTAATTCGTTTAATTAATATAATTATTTGTTAATATTGCTATTAAAATCTTTGCATTTTTACATTATGTCAGTATTGGGTTTCATTTTATTGAAGTCAGATGTACTTTAATTTCAATAAAATTATTAGTGCGGTTCAGGTGCGGTTGAGCGTCTTGTTTGCCTATAATGATGGCGGAATTTGATGGTGAATATTCATTGACGTGTGTGCTTGATGGTTCGATTAAAACTGGGTCGAGGAGCGAACGGAAAGTAAATTCTGCAGAAGAGATGAAAGAGCTGCATGCACATGTGTGCAACGCATATAAAACGAAGAGAAGTTTTACCTCATCATCAGATCAATTGGAATGAGGTGGGCATCAAGGTTTCACATTTAATTTCAATGCTCCATTCCATTCTGTTCTTGGACCTCTATTTGGTTTTACAATCATTATTTTTTATATACGCAATGTAAATTTTTTTAATAACAGAACTAAAAAAAGATTTATTATTCAATTATAAAAGAAACTAAGAAAAAACGCTGAAAAAAATAGGAATACAGATCTAAAATGTCACATATTTTTAAGAAACTAAACTAGCTTATTTTTACGTGCGCTAAAAGTACAACTTTTATTTTCACACTTCACATCCCCTAGTCTCTTCTTCTCTCACAAAGTTTGCTGCGGCTTTTCACCCTTTTGCTCTTTTCTTTTCAGCTCTCCGCCGTCGAAAAGTTCCGCTCTAAATGGACGTTTTGCATTTTGTGCAAACTTTCGTCCAATTTTTCTGCCAGACCCTTCTTACCGCTGCTGTAAAATTTCAGCCGCTTTCTTTTACGAGTTGAGAGAGCGTGAATTTCTTGAAAATTTGCACAAAAGCCCGTTACTTTTGTTTAAAAAAGGGTGAAGTCGAGATATTTTCCAACGCCGAAATGAATTGCTTGGATCATTATGAGAAAAGTGCCAAATAAATAACTCGCATTTTGACCGTTTTGTCACTTACGTGACCCGAGAGTCGGAGTGGATTTTGCAAAAAGTCCGCTGCTTCATGATGAAGTTTGTGAAAAGGGCGCTTGAGCAGCGGAGGCACGCAATATGTGTTTGCCTGTACTGAACATTCGCGAATGCACGTACACTCGCGGGGCATGTGTGAGAGAGTAAAAAATATGGCTGTCAAAAGAACTCTTAACTGGCTCGTCAGTGAGCGGTGAAAAATCGCTTTTTCGTTCGGCGACGGCGAAAGAGAAATGGCGAAAAAGAGCGGCGACGCAAACTTTTCTCATTTTTAGCTGCGATTTATTAAACAGGAGATTATTTTGGATGTGAATGAATAATGCAGTGTAGTTATTGTGAATATTTGACATTAACTTTGCATCTTAATATTGTTAATTTTTCTTTTGTTGTTTGTCAATTTTCCATTTTTATTTTATTGGTAAATTACTAAATTCAAAAGATTAGAGCTTCTCCAAATTCTTAAAATGAGATCAATATTTCAAAACAAAACCTTTCTAAATCCTAGAAATATTCGTTGGCTTCTGAAGTAAAAAAAATGCAAAAGTGATCATTTTTATACAACAATCATATCTTCCGGGCGATGAAATTATAAAGAAGTTTGCCAGATATATGCAAATTCATTCTGGTGTTTTTATTTTGCTATGATATATGTGCAAATTAATTCCGTCATAGTTCAGTGCCGAATAATATTTCATCCATTGTATATGGAATGAGAATAAAAGTCGCAGAGTGATTCTATTCTGCGCACAAAAGTTTTCGCTGGAGTTATTTACGAGGATAAATATTTTCCGTGATATTTCTTTTCGCGCGCTGCAAACAGTCGTCGACCTCCTGAAGAGAGTGAAGATAAAATTCCGACGAGAGGAATGCTGTAAAAACATCAATTCCGCAAAATAAATATAGCGCGGCTCGGCCTTTATTCCAATGAGAAACCTCTTTTTGCCTTCGCTCCCCTGTTGCTTCCGTAGCCATAAATTTATTCAAATATCCGCCGAGCTGCACCAATTCCGCTTTTTGAATGAAACAAAATTCGTTTGTTTATCCTATATTTACTCAGTCAGAGGCCAAATCCGAATTGGCTTCCCTCGGTTTGATTTGGTTTGGCGCAGAAAATGTTAATGCTGCACTCAAATTTCGCCTCGGGTTTTAATTTTTTTCCGGATGAAATGAAAAAAAAAATTAAACATAATGGAAGGAACTACAAAGCAAGAATTCAATTTAATTCATACCAGCGATAATTTGGGCGAAAAAGACTAACTTTTAGGTTCAAATTTTAGTTGAAAATTTCCCAGAGAACGAAAAAAAAATCTTTGTCAGGCTTTGGAGATTAAACAATAATAAATAAAGATATCAAGATATCAATCTTCCCTCATAAAATAAAACGCAAAATTTTACAAAGAAAACAATATAAGAAATTCGTCATAAAAAATTCGGAATACTGTCTAGATATCAAAGAAATGTTTGATCTTTTTTCAACAATCTAAATTATTTTATCTATCTCTTGTTTTTTTTTTTTTTTTTTTTTTTTTTTTTACACAAATACATAATGTATGAAAGAAATCTCCTTTTTGTTTCAATTTGCGAGGAGCGTGAAGGAAAATTGCCGCCCAAGTTTTCCCATTAGTGGTAACAGAACTCAATTCTGCATGTGAAACATTTTCGCTCTTGTGCGACCAAAGACCAAAGTCTTCTCCTTTTCTACAAAACCGCACGATGACAGATCTAGAGACGTTCGAATACTGAGCAGGATTATATTTGATCGTCAGTGCAAACTGGAATTTATCACCAGGGCAACAAAACAAGGCAGGCAAAGTGTTGCATTATTCATGCGCCACCTCGTTGCAAAGCTCGGCGGGCGCGTGCATCATCTCTATTCAAAATTTACATTTTGCCTCCGGTGCTTTGTTGCTTTACAATGGCTGCGGGGATTTTTCGGGTTTAATTGTTGATTCAATTTGGCAACTCACATGCCCACTAACGAGAACAAATTTAAATAACAAATAACTGTTAAAAATAAAATTTTTTTGAATTCTATGCTTCGAGTAAAAAAAAATTATAAATCGCTCTTTTAATTATGTTTTTAAAGGCATAATATAGCAGTAAATTGTTATATATTTTATCCTGAAATCTCACTTAGTTTCATTACGAACGTCAAAAATAATAATTAAACAGTTATTTAATTGTTTACACTTTGATTCAGTTTCAAACAATATTCACTAGTAATTTTTCGCAAGTGCATAAATAAATCCTGGTTTGTATTAATTAAATTTAGTTACAGTTACTACCTATAATTCTTTAAAAAAAAAAATAACGAGAATTAACAAATATTAATATTAACAAAAATAATAAAACTATTATTAGAGAAGACATATTTAAAGTAAAATTTGGGAATTTAATTAACTCTATGAATAATAGATGAGCATTTAATTATGTTGAAAAGTGCTTTCTCATAAGTCTAAAATTTCCTTCCGGGCTAATTGCA